GAGTCCCGGGGGAACCAGGACCAGAGGGTTCTGGGTTGGAGTCCCGGGGGAACCAGGACCAGAGGGTTCTGGGTTGGAGGGAACCAGGACCAGAGGGTTCTGGGTTGGAGTCCCGGGGGAACCAGGACCAGAGGGTTCTGGGTTGGAGTCCCGGGGGAACCAGGACCAGAGGGTTCTGGGTTGGAGTCCCGGGGGAACCAGGACCTTTCTGGGTGGTTCTGCATGTTCTCCTGTGTCTGTGGGTTCTCTCCGGGTTCTCCGGCTTCCTCCCACCCTCCAAAAACCTGCATGTTAGGTTGGTTGGAGATTGGGGAAATTGCCCTTAGGAGTGAATGTGAGTGTGTCTGGTTGTGGGTCCTTGTGTGTCTCTGTGTGTCCCTGTGATGGACTGGGGACCGTCCAGGGTGACCCCGCCTCTCCCCATTGGCTACTGGGATAGGCTCCGCCCCCCCGCGACCCCAACAGGGAATAAGCGGTATTGATAATGGATGGATGGATGGATGATAACCATCTGATGAGGAAAAATAAGCATTCTTTGTAAGTGGGCAAACCTGCAAAATCAGCAAGGGGTCAAATACTTATTTCCCCCACTGTAGCTCTGAAGCATGTTTGCAATTCTTTTAACTCATTGACTGCCAGAGTTTTTTGCGCATTTTGACTGATTTTTCTAGAGCCACAGAATAGTTTGTGCTATGACTATGTAAACACCGAACACACCAAAAGAAAGAGAAGACTCTCTTCTTTCATCAGGAAAAAAATAGTTTTTTTTAACTGTAACCAGTTAAACTCTCTAGAGGTTCTGCTGTATTTAAAATAGTTTATCTAAAGTAACTAGCAAATGGATTCAGAAGCTGTTCAATAAAGACCCAGGACCCTCGATTCAAAACCTGACAAGTGCTTTAGTTTCTTAGGCCCAGTTTAATTTTCTTTAGCGAGCTGTTTGTCCAACAGTCACATACAGATGTCCTGTTGGTTTTTCCAGCTTTTCCTTGTTTCTCTTCCCAGACATCTTCACGCAGCAGTGCCACTTCCTGCGTCAGGCCGGCCACTCGGAGAAAGCCGTCTCTCTGTTTCAGGCCATGATCGACTTCACCTTCTTCAAACCCGACAGCGTCCTGAAGCTGTCCACCCGGCAGCAGGTGGGAGCCGATCACACCGCTAACCACTTTAGTTAGAAAAAACACCCCTAACCACTTTAGTTAGAAAAAACACCCCTAACCACTTTAGTTAGAAAAAACACCTCCAACCACTTTAGTCACACCTGTCCTGTTCAGTCGTTTAGTTAGAAAAAACACCTCTAACCACTTTAGTTAGAAAAAACACCTCTAACCACTTTAGTTA